TTGAGGGATGCTATATAGTCGGCCATGTAGTCGCCCAAGATTGGGGGATGCTACCCCTCAGTACGTGGCAGCTCTATTGGCTACCTACATGATCAACCTCCTCCCACAGGATGGATCCTCCGTGCAGGGCAACCATTGACTACCTGCATGATCAACACACTACCATAGGAGGAATCCATCGTGCAAGGTAATCCAACAAACCATTAAGTCACACATCTTTAATTAGCTTCATGCCTAGCTCAACGATACCATACCAGAGTGGAAAGGGAAGTGAAAGGTCCTCAAGTACCATACTGGCTGCTATCGGCTTAGAAAGCTACCTTTGTTATTCCTGGATGTTGTAGAGGTATGCTAGATTCTTATGGGCATATAGGTCATTTAAATCTCATCTCTCGTTTCCAGTATGTTTAGGGTTAGCTCATCGAGCTAAACCAATCTCTAGGTGTACACGGGTCTAAACCTCTTATCACTCATGAATCAACAATGTAAACCACACTAGCTGTAGCGCCCTAATCTTAATTGAGTTCTCTCATGCATGCTTTGCTAGGCCTACCAATCACCTAAGCATGTAATCCACAATTTAAACTTCACCTTAGTTAAATTTTGGAGCTGAGGAAGTCTATTGTATTCCTAGGGGAGTTACGTGGCTTAATGTGGATTCCTGACTCCATGCTACTCTGTTTTGACTTCTCAAGTTTTTCTTAGTCTAGGAGCACTAGGATCTAAATCCTCTGGCCATTGCTCACGATCCTAGACCTAAGTTATCGTTTAGCCAATCTAACTCTAACATTTTAGTTCTGTGCAAATAAACACGCTCTACAAGAAGAACAACAGTCAAACACTTAGAGCTAACACATATTCTATCATGCACACGTACAAGCAAACAAATTCAATGGGGGAGATAACATCTATCAATCACCCAGAACACATATTACAATAGCCCATCTTCCTTTCTAACACAACGAAAACCATATAAAGCAGAATTTATCACAAATCTCATCATAGAGGCATTTTGGTAATTTCTTACATCCTTCATAATATACTTATCCATATTTTCTAACTTGTATTCTAGTCATGCATATTCTATTTCGGCTAGTGAGTCGGATCGGTTGTGGGCGCTGAACATGATCGCACCTCGATTCTCAAATTGGGCGAGCGAGTCGGATTGGGTCAATAGTCGGGTTGCCGCTAGCCTTGCAATGCGTTGCTAGTCTCACCATTTGATACGTGTCATCGTCGACAACCAACACATTCTCCTCATCTCTGTGTGACATATTTTGTCGTCTGGTTGGTCTCCTTCGCATGCATTAAATTTTTTTTCTAGAATCCGATCGATTTACAATTTCTTCCTATTTTATAATTACCGACTTAAATCAACTCATTCAAATATCATCAAAACTAAAACTTTACCAATTTTGCATTTTTTTGATGATCACCGCAAAAATAAATTTGGCCCGAATCAACTCCGACAAATTTCACAAAATTTGTGTAAAACCCTCCGATATAATATACTAAAAATTCATAACTTAATTTCAAGAAAAGCTCTAGAATCGGAAAGAAAACCATAATCAAGTCAAAACTCTTACTTCCCGTTCTTCCTTATTCTTGTTGATGGCATCGAGCAAATCAAAAGCCTCGAATAATTCTTCCAACATAACTAAGAAATTTTTGTAAAGGAACTCTGACAAAATTCTAACCCCAAGTATTAAATATATTGTTGGAACTTTAGAGATTCTTACTGAGATCTCTTCATAACTTAAGTACTCATCCATCTGTAGAGGTTCATAGTCTATCACATGTGTCAAGTCAATCGAGTACTTGTAGAGCGTGGCTACATGGAATACGTCATGTACCACAGTGAGGAATGGATAATCTGACACCACTGATCTGATTTGTTCCAAAATGTCGAAGGGTATGATGAAGCATGGGCTCAAGTGTCTGAACCTTAGAAAACCTTTCATCTGGGACACCTTCAAGAATACCTTGTCACCTATCTCGAACTTTAAACTTCTACACCTCACATCGGTGTAAATCTTCTGTGTACTCTGAGAGCTTGGCGTGATACTTACTATTTAGGAACATCAAGTTAGCTTAAGGGTTCATTCAATTACTTTTTTTAAAAGCTTAATTAAACTTCTATATTCAGGATATCCACTTTTACGAACCACGGTAAGAAATTCTTTAAAGATCTAGTTCATGAAAATTATATAAGTCGTGGGTAGTAGTGATCAAAATACCTCACAGTCACTCGTAACAATCATGTTGAAACTTCGGGAAATTTTTGATAAATTGTCCTTTTTTACTCCTATCCTTGAGAGAACCTTTATTTCTAGAAGTGTACCTTTTCTTCATTGTTACCTTGAGAAGTCCTTGAAATTCAATACATTGCTACATGACCCACTAATTTCCTCTTAACGATCAAAACTAATTCGTTCAACCGAAAACATTAATGTTTTTGACTTGGTAGCTCGCATATCTATGACTTGTTCTATCTTAATTATACTCAATCGTTCCCTCCATAATCTTACAAAATTGAAGTGGGTTCATGCCTCAACTCTTTATGGCTAGAAAACTTGAATACTTAATTCAATCTTAATTCCCAACTTTTCTATTTCCTTTGGGATGAATTGTTATCTTCTTTTAATGTCGTTTTCTTGAGGGTTAGCCCCACTTTGGGCATGGTTTTGTATCGAAGACCTTGGTTCTTGTCCTTAGACATTCCCCTTGAAGACCTATGGCGTTTTATGGTCAGTGAACAATCAACCCTGACATACTCGAGGCTTCATGCGCTCCGTGTGACATAGTAGAATAGGGCTTCCTGGGTTTCCTTTCTATTCTTATTACTAATATTGTAAAGTGACTTTTTTATAGTTGAAATAAAGTAAATGAATCTTATTTGTTTTATCAATTCTTTCTTGATTGGCTTCTGAATTGATTTAGTCTTTTTTTTTTTTATTGAATCAATAAAAAGTTGTCCATTAATCCTTGGGATATTCACAACACGAAAGATAGCTATGTATATGTTTTCAACGATTTTTTTTAGAAAATGATGCTAATTAATCTTACATTTCTTTTTAAAATAAATTCTATAAGAGTTCCTTGTCAACTCTCGAGACAAATTCTTAACGTGTAAGCCTTAATCCATATAAGTCATAAGCATTTCTTCGCATACACAAACCTTTCATAAACATCTTGCCACTTGTATTCATAAAATCCTTGATTTATTATTAGGGTTTACTTAAAATATAAGGACTAAAAATTGATAATGAAAAGTAAAAGAAAATAAAAATAAATCAAAAGTAAAGATTAAAATGATATTTTCTCGGTTGGTTGAACTACATTTAAGATTATTTATTTTATGTCTTATTTTCTCCTCGGTCAATTATCTTTTTTTGGCCCATGTAATATTCAGTTTCAACAAAAATCTTGTGGTTGAATAGACAATGTTTTCGGTGATGTTAGTAAATGGTTATTATGTCAGCATTGCAAATAGAGGTATATAAGTGATACACAATCTACTATTTAATTTCATTCAAATAAACTATCTCCGTCTCTCATATGGGTTTCATAATTATAGGAATTTGTTCTATAAGCGGACTTAATGGAGCTATTTTACGAATAATCTCTCATGGATTTATTGGCGCTGCGCTTTTTTTCTTGGCGGGAACCCTAGATGCTGTCGGAGTAAAGGATCGTCAACAAGGGCGTTCTAGTGCGTTGTAGATTCTTATCCAAGACTTGTATCATTTGATGATGCCATGTGAATCGCTAGAAACATGTGAAGTGTATGGCTAACCCAATAACGGAAGTTTCGTAAGGGAACTGGAGCAGGCTACCATGAGACAAACAAAAGATCTTCTTTCTAAAGAGATTCGATTCGAAACTATTATATGTCCAAGGTCCAATATTGAAATAATTTCAGAGGTTTTCCTTGACTTTGTCCGTGTCAACAAACAATTCGAAATGCCCCGACTTTTTTAGAACAGGTCCGAGTCAAATAGTAATGATTCAAAGCACCTCTTTTTACACTATTTCGGAAACCCAAGGACTCAATCGTATGAATATGTAAAATACAGGATTTCCAATCCTAGCAGGAAAGGGAGGGAAACGGATACTCAATTTAAAGTGAGTAAACAGAAACTCGATCTCATAGATACATATAGAATTCTGTGGAAAGTTGTATTCGATGAAAGTCGTATGAACAAGTTATGATAGAATACGTCTTGTTTATCTTGATGAAATGGGCGGAATGGCTATTCCAATTCCAAAAATATTCACGACTTATCTTTATCGATGGCTTCCCTTACATTGTCGGGAGTGGTTTTGTTGCAGAATTAATAGTCTTTTTTGGAATAATTACCAGTCAAAAATATCTTTTAATGACAAAAAATAAAACAACAATAATATAATAATTAATAATTTTTTCATTTTTAGCAAATATTCAAATGAGAACTTTGAAGGCCGAGAGGGGAAAGGTTCCATGTGAACGACACTTGCACATGGGTTAGTCGATCCTATGAGACAGGGGAAGCCCGTCTTATAGCGCTAAGCTTCGAAAGGGAATCGGGTTAAAATTCCTGAACCGGGACGTGGCGGCTGACGGCAACGTTAGGGAGTCTAGAGACGTCGGCGGGGTCCTCGGAAAGAGTTATCTTTTCTGTTTAACAGCCTGCCCACCCTAGAAACAGCTCAGCCGGAGGTAGGGTCCAGCGGCTGGAAGAGCATCGCACGTCGCATGGTGTCCGGTGCGCCCTCGGTGGCCCTTGAAAATCTGGAGGACCGAGTGCCTCCCACGCCCGGTCGTACTCATAACCGCATCAGGTCTCCAAGGTGAACAACCTCTGGTCGATGGAACAATGTAGGCAAGGGAAGTCGGCAAAATGGATCCGTAACCTCAGGAAAAGGATTGGCTCTGAGGGCTGGGCACGGGGGTCCCAGTCCCGAACTCATCTGCTGTTGGTGGACTGCTCGAGCTGCTCCCGCGGCGAGAGCAAGTCGCTGCGTGCCGGCCGGGGGACGAACTGGGAACGGCTCCTTCGGGGGCCTTCCCCGAGCGTCGAATAGTCAACTCAAAACTAGTACGGACAAGGGGAATCCGACTGTTTAATTAAAACAAAGCATTGCGATGGTTCCTGCGAATGCTAACACAATGTGATTTCTGCCCAGTGCTCTGAATGTCAAAGTGAAAAAATTCAACCAAGCGCGGGTAAACGACGGGAGTAACTATGACTCTCTTAAGGTAGCCATTCAGAATTAATTCATCAAGCGTTTATCATATTTTAACTACTAAAAAAAATAAATTATATTTCACATTACTTTGGCTCCAAAATTAAAAAATAAAAATAGAAAGCAAAAAATTAAAAAATAAAAATTAAATAATAATACCTATTTGGTACTTTGGTTTGGTGTCTAGTTTCAATTTGTTATTAAATTTAATTTTAAAGTGTTATATTATTTTATATTTTATTTTCATTTTCATTTAATCCTTTTTATTACATCATTATTACAATTTTCTTTTTCACTTGATAAGTATTTTAAATTAATTTACTATCTAGCAAATTAATCCAATTCATCGATTAATTATTTAGAAAATGTAAAATATCAAAGCTAAACTCCAAATTTAAGTCAAAATCGAAGATTTAAATATTTAGAAATTAAATGAAAAATAAACTCAAAACTCTCACAAAACTCACATTGCCACTCGACAGGCTTAAAAATATGTAAGCCACTAGAGTTGGGGAGGAGGAAGCAGCCACTTTTCACTCTTCACGAACCCAAGGTTGATAAACGGCCTCACTTCATCATTACTCAACTGCTTGCTGAAATCAACGCGGCCGCTCGTCTCCGATCCCGGCCCCGAACACTTATATTCTCCAAAGAACACCGTACTGTGGAAAGCCGGGATTTTCATGTCGTTCCACCCTTCACGGTTAATAATGTCAGCCATGGTGGTGTAGGCATACACAACTCTCGACCATGGCCTCCAAGACCTTCCCAAAAAGGTGTTCCTCCCGCCCGTGCCTGTAATGCTGCAATGCGCAAACACATACCCGCTCGGGTCCGTTCTCTTTTCTCTTGAATGCGCTGTAATCACTCCCAATTCATTGTCGACCACCACCACGTCGAGCTGCGTGTTCAAGAAAAGCGATGTTCCCTTACCGAAGATGAAGTCCACGGTGCCTTGAATGAAGCAGTCCTTGTAGACATGTAAGCCGTCGTCGTCGCATAGGGTGTCTTGAAACCCTATAAATTTGCAATTGTAAACTGCGGCTTTGTTCCCTCTCAGTCGAGCCGCTAATGCTTGAGCTCCTTTTCTTTTTCCATCTGGTCTTGGAGATGAATTCTGAATGGATTATAAGAAAATCCAGTTATATAAAATGGTAAGAATGTTAGGAATCATGACTCGAATTCTTAATGAGTTATAACAAAAATTCCGTTATTATATCGATAAGAATGTTAGGAATCATGACTCAAATTCTGAAAGAGTTATAACAAAAACCCGGTTATTATATCGATAAGAATGTTAGGAATCATGACTCAAATTCTGAAAAAGTTATAACAAAAATCTCGTTATTATATTGATAAGAATGTTAGGAATCATGACTCAAATTCTAAAAGAGTTATAACAAAAATTCCGTTATTATATTGATAAGAATGTTAGAAATCTTGACTCAAAATGAGTTAACAAAAACTCCGTTATTATATCGATAAGAATGTTAGGAATCACGAAAACCCAGTTAATAAAATGATTAGATTGTTATGAATCATGACTCAAATTTTGAAAAATCAATCTATAAGACTTAGGAATGATCGAATGGAATAGAAAAAAAAAGGAAAAAATAAGTAAATAAGCCTTAGAAGAGCACAAATTCCAAAATGAAAATGTGACTGGTCCCGGTCATTCTTCGGGATTGAATGGAAGAGGGGGAGGAGATTCTCAAGACGTATGAAGTGAACATCGGGGATTCTATTAATATGCCTAAGTTAACTATATGAAATCAGGACTCTCCACATACAATTTCTTTGCTATTAACATGGATAAGTTAAGGGCATGACTCTAATACTATGTTAAGAATCAATTCTCCACAATGGTATGCTAGTATAGTATTGATATGGTATTATCCACTAGTATGAGCTTGATATATTTCAAGCTTATAAACCCATGATCATCCCCTAGACGTGGGACTTCCCAACAATCCTCACTAAAGAAAACAATACCCAATTAACCAAAAATATGTTTAATTAACAAATTACCTCGATGACAAGATTGGCAGCGACGAAATAATCAGAGTCGACGCTCAAAGATGCACTATAAACGGTGCCGTATGTTTTAGCATCTCCATCAAAGGTCAAGTTAGGCATGTTGTTAGGGGAGCCATAAAGGGTAATGAATGGCCTAGTCCTATCAATAGTAAGCTTCTCTTTATAAACTCCTCCTCCTATCCAAATCACGACGCGTTTGGTGTTACCGGGAGGAACACTAGCGATGGCTTCGGTGACAGTCTTGAAATCTCCACTTCCATCAGCTCTTACTTTAACCACGGTGGCGCGTTCTTCAGCCGCCACAAGGGCTGGATCAAGCTCACCCTTGCGATCGGTTAAGGGCTTCACATTTTTGGAATACCAAGCATCTAGTTTCGACTTTTCGGCGGGAACGGGTGGTGTGGCAGCGAAGACGCCTACAAAAGCTGCTAGGAAAATCACCGAACTCGTGAGAGAGAGAGCATCAATGCAATATTTCATATTTCTGTTATATTTATTTTTTTTAATTTTTTAAATTTGGATTTTGGAGAAGAGTGGAGTACGTTCAATTGCATGGAGCAGGTGGGATTATATAGAGTGAGAGGGCCCACTGTGAACTATAAGAACCAACGTAAAATTTGGAGTAGTTTTACCTTTCCGTTTTACCTGCCCCAGTTTAAGAGATTTACCGTTTTAGCTGTTAGACTTTTTTTACCGTGTCTTTCCTTTACTTCAAATATAGAAGTACCATCTGATTTAGTATTTTGAAAAATACTCAGTGACTCCACTATTGTGGTTAGGGAATGTAAACACATACAATCGTATGATTAGGACCCATCATTTAAAACCATCATAGATGAGCCTCCAACTATGATAAATTAAATGTGTAGTACTTCCTCACACCCGACCCACATGTTTGAGTGTAGGTCTATCAGGCAGTCCATCATAATCATCCATGTGACATAGCTCCACAAATCCTTCACATATTACTCGGTGCATAAGTTTTCATACATTTCGTTGGTTTTTTGACCTTTAATATCAAATTAATTAATTTTAACTAATTAACTAATTGATGTTTTTTATAATAACAAATAATTATCAATATTTTGAATGGTCTATATCGTAAAACTGAGAATAATGATTCCAATGCCATATGAATCACTTAAATCAAAATTAAAACGAAAAAGTTATAATCGAAACAAAATACTCCAATTCGAAATGCCTCGACTTTTTTAGAACAGGTCCGAGTCAAATAGTAATGATTCGAAGCACCTCTTTTTACACTATTTCGGAAACCCAAGGACTCAATCGTATGGATATGTAAAATACAGGATTGGGAAACGGATACTCAATTTAAAGTGAGTAAACAGAATTTCATACTCGATCTCATAGATACATATAAAATTCTGTGGAAAGCCGTATTCGATGAAAGTCGTATGTACGGCTTGGAGGGAGATCTTTCATATCTTTCGAGATTCACCCTACAATATGGGGTCAAAAAGCCAAAATAAATGATTTTAGCCCTTATAAAAAGAAAACTGATTCTTGACTCGACTGAATGATAGGACAATTGAAATGATAGGACAATTGAATTAGTACGATAGACCAATCAAATTATAAGACTTTCATTTTCGAAGAGTAACTAATAGTGAAATTAATTACTTTTAAGAAACAAAAAAAAAAAAAAAAAATAATTATACCTAATTATACTAATATATCATTTAAATAAAAAAAAAATCATTTACTCACATTATTTTTATATTATATTATATTATATTAATAATACATAATGAATTAAAAAAAAACTATCACCCAATTATTTATTATTATTATATTATTATATCTCTAATAAATTTGAAAATTTTTTAGTACCATTATTATTTATTATTATATTTATAATAAATTTTAAAACTTTTAAATGGATAAGTTTACTCACATTAGTTTTTATATTATCTTATTATATTTAAAAAATTTTAAAAAACAATAAAATAAAATTCTAAAATTTTTCTCACATTATTATTTTATTTTTATTTTTATTTTTATTCTTATTATTAATCTTCCCCTCCTATTTCTCTTTTAACACAATATAATATCCCGTATTAGATATTTTTATTATATAGTGAGAAAATAGTTGTGAGTGCTAACCTCTACCTATTTATTCTGATTATTTTCGAGTCAGGTTTAAGTAAGTCAAGACGAAAGGGAACCCCTGACCTATTCTTCTTTTAGAGGGTAAAGCTATTTGTTTGAAGAACCTGAACCGTAACCTGATTGAACTCGGTCTGTTGTTCTCTTTACCCCTTCCCCTGCATTGGCCTTCAAAGACTCTGAACCTCTCCCTAAACTATAAAGAAGAAAGATTAATGAGACTAATTTCACCCTTGACCAACGTAATTAGTAAGTCAAGACTCAACTCCTTATTCCAGAACCTATTTGTTTTCTTTTACTAGGTAAAGCAGCTTCGCTCACTCACCTGTCGGTTTCACTTGTAAATCTACTCTTTTAAAGGGCGTGATATGTTCTTACAAAATTCCAATACTTGTAACATCTTGCAAAATATTGAGTTTGCTCTCGAATTCCTAAAAGAGCACAACTGTATGCAGTTAGACTCTGATTTGATAAAAGAGTAAGAAAGTTCTTTGCTAAAATGATTAAGAGTGGAGAAGGTCGAGTTCGTTATATTTTTTTAACCTATTCCTATTTAATTTCAAAATTGTTTAATTGTTTATTGTTTTGAATTAAATTATTTTTATATACTTGTATTAATTACCTGGAGTCATTTCTACAAATTTTAATAATTATAAAAAGTAAACATTTTTAAATAATTTTATTATTAAACCCTATTAGCTCCCTCTATGGTTGCTATCGATCCAACATATTTATCATTTATAACATTACTCAAAGGTTGTGCATTAGAAAACTCATTATCATGCAATATGACATTTCATATATATACATCATTGTAACACGAGATATCATCGTATCATGTCATATGATCATCATGCATTTCATGTCATCATATCATATCAACATCCTAATATATTGTAGTAACATAGTACATCGCATCATCATAACATCATAGTGTCATCGTAACACATCATAATATCATAACAAATCACATCATCATATTATCATAGCGTCATCATAACACATCTTAATACAATAACAACATACATGACATGTGCAAGGGTCACTGGGTACGTGCTATCATACATGAGACAAGTCTTCCAACCGAGTCAAGTTCTCCTCCTAATTTAGCTTGCTCTCGTCCTTCAATTTTATTCTCACTTATGTTGAGGTTTCACCTATTTGAAGGGTCCGAAACGAAGGGAACGAAACAGAGCTGAGTCGGAGCCAAGCCAAGCCGATCGAGTAGAGTGGCTGAGGATAAGACACGTGTTGGTGTGGAGCTGGCGCGTGCGGATCACAATTCACATTGAGGCGCGAACTTTGGGTTGGGTTCTTGGTATCACGGGTTGCGCGTATTGAGCATGGGCTCAAAGGCAATAGGCCGCGATTGGGGCTTCATGAACATGTTTGCTGCGCGGTTAGGCTAAGGGCATCGAGCTGTTTGACTTTGGATGTGGATTTGCTGCAAGTGGGTAGTCGAAGTCTAAACCTGAAAATACAGTCTTCTTCACCCGACTCACTCGAAAGGTTCGATGACATTTCTCTCTCTTTCCGAGAGTTTCTGGCATCTTTCTCAATCATTTTTTCATTCAGATCTCGACCACTATGAGTCCTATTGGCTTGCCTCACACTTCCATGATGCCTCAGTGTCTCAAACGTACCTATAAGCACAAATCCCTTTTTACACCTCAATTTTCCATAACCCCAAACATGTCGATGGAAATATAAGTACGATGAGGCAAGGGCACTTGCAAGTGACTTACCGTTTGTACTCTTGGATTCGTTGGTCGTCTTTCCTATGACGTGAGTAAGTCCTCCTTTGATTGTAAAACCCAAATCGAAGTTCACCGACATCACATTTCGAGGGATTAACCGTCGTTCGTCTTCTCCTTTGTTCTTTCTATATTCCACACTTTTATCTCTTTAGGTGAGGTTTGAAGTATGGCTACCCACCTAGAAGATGAAAAACATAGGCCTCTGAAAGCACCGCATGATTGGAAATAGGTTTCTTTAGGTGCTTCTTAGTCCCTAACTTGGTTTAGGTTCCAAACCCGTTCTATTCAATTTGAAATCTTAAACATATCTTTATATCCTTAGAAATATGTCCTATAAAAAGTAACCAGTCATTTAGACTATTTAGAACTCAAAATAACATGAACCGTCCTAGGGGTATTTTGATCATTTTACTTCTAATTCTTGGTTTAGCTACTTAACATGTTCCAATGGAAGGGAATGAACTCTTCATCCACGTAGCGGAAACATTGGGAACCGTTTTGATTTTTATTAAGAATTAAAACAAAGCAATATATAAAAGAGTAAGAACTCTACCTTTGTAGAAGCTCTAGCTTGCAAGACTCCTTGGAGTGTTCCAACCATGCAGAAGTTCTTCAATATTCCACAAGATTTTCCTTACTATGACTCGAACACAAGGTCAAGACTTGTGGGAGCCTCTTGAAAGAAAATCCCAAAGGGATTAGAGAAACAACTTCGAGAATTCTCTAGAGATGTAATTTTATTCTCTAGAGAAAGTGGGAGAGATTGATGTGTCTTTGGCTAAACCCGAGGGTCCTATTTATAGAGACTCTCGGAGAATATTTGTCATATAATATATTTGCATATTTAATATATTAGGATATTATACCTTATATAAATCATATTGAGATATTATAAGATATCCTAATATATATTTAATTAATTTGAATCTCATTCAAATTTCAAATATATTTTTATTTAATGTATCAAATACATTAATTGATTTAATATTTAATGGTAACAAATACAATAAATATATATATTTGATAATATATCTAATATATTAAATATTAATTTCAACACTCCTAATTAATATATTTTTTTATTTACCTTTAACATATCTAATATATTAAATATCAATTTGAACCCTTCAAATTAAATATATTTTCTCTATTTTTTTAATTAATTTGACATTTCAAATTAAATTTAATTTCTCATTTATATTTAATATATTAAATATCAATTTAAACACTTTAAATTTTGTTTCAAATAAATTGAACTTTTTTTAGCATTTCTATGAGCTAACAAGGGACTTATGATCTACAGAAATAATACAAAATTAATTAATTAAACTCTTTGATTAATCAATTTTCATTCATTAACTATAGGTCACTCCAGTATAGACCTAGAATTGCACTCTTATGTACTATAGGACAAATTATGTCCATCGATATAATCATTACAAGTAAGTCGATTCTTCACAAGTTGTTCATAATTATAGCTGGGTCAAAAGTCTGTTTTACCCATATAATTACATCTTTCACCTTAAGTACCACTGATTCTCTAATGAAATATTTGTCTATGATCCAATCATAAACCAAGTCCCTCTTGGGCCAATGAGAGGGTGGGGCCCATTGTTCAAGTCCCGAAATTAGTAATTAAGAGAACAACACATCTACTTTTCTTATATGGAAATGAGTGAATTTCATCTCATGATATTATGTTCCTAACTCTCTATTTGGAAATAGTAGGCATATTGAATGGGCTAAAAGAGTCATTCTCACCCATGTAAATTAAAGAACAAGCCCTCACAGACAGGAGTTCATAACTCACCAACGATTAAGATCGAGTCGCATATGATCATCATGTAAAATATTAATCTTTTCAATTACCAATTTATAAAGATAGATTAAATATTTCTTGGTCCAGTCTTATACAAACTCATTGTATAGGATACCCCCACTTACATGTCTCCACATGAATGATTTGGATGAAATCATTTGTAACGATTACAAAGTGAGCCGTATCAATAGGGTTACTAGGATAAGACACCCACCCTTTTCCATATACTATAGACTCTTTAGGTTATTACTTGTACACGATTCTCTTATATGTCAATCACATACTATTCAAGATTATATTAATAACCTTGAATTTTCATATAATGGATAACAATTAAATCACAAATAAAATAATATAAATTATTGTTAAAAAAATCAAATAATTAAACGAGGCTTAGGGCATAAATCTCAACACCAATATCTTTGAAACTTCACTACATCATCAAAAACCATAAAACAAAGTCTAATAAAAAAGTTTCATAGCATTTGGAGGTCATCTAGATCATGAATCGATGATAAATTACCTTAGGGACATTATGGTCATTTTACACTGTTACCTAGTTTAGCTACTTATCTTTACATCCAAATGATTTCTACAAGCATTTCTTAAGAAAAGTCTAAGATGACTACTTATCTCGTCATCAACGTTCAAGACCTCCTTTCTCGAGCTTTCGGCATCCAAATTATTCTGAATTTTCTTTGTTAGGTTTTTCAGTCCTCCTACAGACTTTAAAACGGATCTGCTATAATCTACCGGTCTCCTCCACATCTTTATAAATAATGGTTTGTTCTCCTCCCCAACAATGTGGGACAATCTACCGGTCTCCTCTCACATCTTTATAGATAATGGTTTGTTCTCCTCCCCAACCAATGTGGGACAATCTACCGGCTCAATTCTTATAAATAATGGTTTGTTCGATTTTTTCATTAAACTTGTTGGAAACCCATATGGAATGTGTAGGAGTTGGTAGGAAAAGGCCAACCAATGTGGGACAATCTACCGGCTCAGCATCCTTACTGGCACATATTTGTAACGACCCAGATCCACTGCTTGTCCTCTTTAGGCTTTCTCTTTCGAGCTTTTATTATTATTTTCTCGAAAAAAAAAATCAAAGTTTTTTTTTAAAATTCTTGATCATCATTTTTTCCTTTTTTTGAGCCTCTTAAATTTCCTTCTAGATAAGGAATTAAAAACATGAACAGTTCTTTACCTATGGAAAAATGACCCTTTTTTTTAATTATTATTATTATTTTTTATATATAGTTACTTTTTTTTTTTTTTCCTTTCAATCCTTTTCCAAAAGTCTTAAATTCCAAAAATTACTCTTAGGGTATATGAATGACTTGTTTAAGACCATTGTCCCTTGCTTCAACTCTTTAATTCCTTTCCTTAGATTTTTTGAGTTTTATATGAGCGGTTATTACCTTCATTACAGGTTGTTCCAAACCATGAAAGTTAAGATAGAATAATAGAATGCAGTGTTTTCAGTTTCAGTCAGTAGTTTTATACGTGACTTTTCATTTTCTCTCTCAACCATTATGTTAAAGTTTTATTTTGACGAAGTTATTTTCATTTCCTGCTTTAAACTAGACGTATAAGTCCTGGCTTGGTTTGGAACGTTTTATTTAAATTTTCACATATGTTATTAAAGACATGTATACAGTGACCTCTCTTATTTAGACAATTTTTTACCCTTTTATTTTCATTTGTTCTTTACCCTTTTACCTTAATTTTATTTTTCCTACTAAATACTTAATTTGATATACGTTAAAAGTTAAACTCAAGACCTAAAAACCTAAAATTTTATACAACCAAATAGAAATTAAACTCGAAACATATTTATTTGGATTAGCGTTTATTATTGAAAAAGTAAAAAGAGAAAAGAAATAGTTATTAATATAATGAAAAAAAGTGGATTTTATGATATGATGGAGTCATTTCAAAGGATATAATTGTGATTTACAAAATTAAAGTTCATCAATGATTATGTGTTTTTTAGTTCAACAGTGTTATGCCGACAAAATAGGAATTCCGACATAAATATCTTGTCTTTTTTATTCATAAAATTAGAAAGCCGACATAAATATATTGTTTTTTTAATTGATAAATATATCATACGTTTATTTCTTATTCATAAATATAGCAAGTTGGAGAATGATGAATTCGAACCAAAACATTATATATGATTTTGAAGAATGAATTGATAATAAAATAATATAAATAAGATTGCATCAAATCTATTATGGATTATACACCAATAATTGGATCATCTATATATATATTTTAGGTCCATTCGATTAAAGAATTACCGTCATTAAATAAACCAACAAAATTTGATTTCATCGATCTTCGTTTTTCTTTGTTAATGGCTCTTCACCAATTTTTTACTTCTTTTACGAGTCTTTTCATCAAACGAGTCTCTTTTGATCTCAATTGTTCATTTGTCCCTCCCGTTCTTAAAGTACATGGCGGTGTAAGAATGTCAAGTCAAACTATTGTACGACGGTCTGGAAATTACAAACCTCCTATTTGGAAACTTGAGTTCATTGAGTCATTAAAAAGTGAATTTAAGGTATGAATGATGATAGAAATCTTTTGATTGTTTACTCTTTTTCGTTTTATTTACATTTAATTTTGAAATGAGTTTGACAATTACTTGTGGATATGTATGATGTTTTCAGGGAGAAATGTACGTAGAACATTTGAATGAGCTAAAGGAAGAGATCGATATTATCATGAACCAAATAATAGACGACCCTTTAAAGCAACTCGAGCTGATTGATACTTTACAACGACTTGGAATCTCATATCATTTTGAGAATGAGATTAAGGATATGTTGAAAAGAACATATGAGAAGAGTTATGAAAGTGATGATTGGAAAAAGAATAATCTGCATGCAACATCACTTGAATTTAGACTTCTAAGACAACATGGATTCAATGTTTCACAAGGTATCAACTTTGTTCAACACTTAATATTACTTGTGGATATGTTTTCATGATTTTTTTTTTCTTTTTTTGCACAATATAATGGAATAGCAATTCATTGGATATCAAATTCACGAGCATGTGAAACTATCAACATGAAAATTTAGTATCTTAGTCATGCTGCATTAAACCGTGCGTATTTATCAACAACTTTTTGTATTTCAATGACAGAGGTTTTCAATAACTTCAAGGATGAGATGAAAAACTTTAGCACACGACTCTATAAAGATTTGAATGGAATGTTATCTTTGTATGAAGCTTCGTTCTTATGTATAGAAGGTGAAAACATTTTAGAGGCAGCAAAACATTTCACAATCAACCATTTGGAAAAATATATGAGATCGTGCAAGGATGAACATGAAGCATCCATTATTAGACATGCGTTGGAGTTCCCCTTGTATTGGCAAATATCAAGATTGGATACAAGATGGTTCATTGATATCTACGAGAGAAAAGTGGATATGAATCCTATTCTTCTCGAAATTGCCAAATTAGATTTCAATCAAGTTCAATTTATCCACCAAGAAGACGTGAAATATGCATCAAGGTAAGATTATTATAAACATATACATATTTAGAGCATAGACAATAATGATTTATGATGTTCTTTTATCGAAATTTTGTTAAATCACAGATCAACTCAAAAATTTTCTTTTCCTTTGAAAAAATTGATGATTTTTTTATTTTTTATTTACATTTTTAAGACAAAAAAAAAAAAAAAAAAAAAAAAAAAAAAAAAAAAAAAAAAAAAACTTTAAATTTATAGATTGTTATAAATTTAATTATATCAATACTGGAACATTCCCTCTTCCGGTTAGAACGTTGATACAGTCGTTGAGAAATTTCTGAAAGGCTAATCCAATCTCGATATAGCCTTTACGCAATCTTAATCTAATTCATTCCTTCATTGAATTGGATTTTAATTATATTAACATGTTTACAAACTCCAAGAACAGGTGGTGGAGGAGCACTGGATTTAGCGAAAAGTTCAGCTTTGCAAGAGATAGATTGATGGAAAATTTCTTTTGGACAGTGGGTGTTGGATTTGAACCCGAGCTCTCATACTTTAGAAGAATGGCCACAAAAGTTAATGCATTAATAACAACAATAGATGATATTTATGATGTCTATGGCACATTAGATGAACTCGAGCTCTTTACTGACGCGGTAGAGAGGTAAGCAAACGATAAATCTATGACAATAAGAAAAAGTTTAATCTCGGTGTTAATTTCTATTTGTTATATTATTTTGTTTACCAATTCATTTATTTTTTAATAGATAATTAAATTTACCATATTAAAATCTCAATATTTTTTTTTTGATATATAATCCTCTTCTAAAATATGATTTCAGGTGGGACGTTGGTACAATGGATCAATTACCTGACTATATGAAAATATGTTTTTTTAGTCTCCACAATTCTATCAATGAGATGGCTTTTGAAGCACTGAGAGACAAAGGAATTAATGTGCTTAAGTACCTTAAGAAGGCGGTATGAATTTAATTATGATAAGTATTTCTAACTTTTCTTTTGATTAAGATCAACAAAATTGTTACGTAATTTATTTATATGATACTTAATTTTATAGTGGGCAGATTTGTGCCAAGCTTATATGTTGGAGGCTAAGTGGTATCACACCAGCTATAAACCAACTTTAGAAGAATATTTAGACAATGCATGGATTTCAATATCAGGACCAGTTATATTAGTTCATGCATATGCTTTCGTGA